TGGGGGGGGGGGAGGCGGGGGCTTACCTGTCTTGGTGATGTCATAGCCCAGTAGCACACTGGGAGTCTATAGGTCAGAGAATTCCAAAGGGCAACAGCAATTTGGGGTCATATAACCAGAAGGCTCCAACTTTTCAGTGGCTAGCAGCTGTGGGGTGATATTTTCTTAGCTGTGGAAAGGAGGTCGGCTCTAAATGGCTAAAAATCTGCTTCTGGGGGCTAATTTTTAAGTAATTGGATATGTGAGAATTTGAGTTTGGCGCCTGCAGGCTTTTGAGTAAGGAGTCCCAGCCGGGAGTGAAAAATGAACAATCTGGGGCCCAATACAAAGAGGGCTCTTTCATGCCCTTAACTTAGGCTCATTTCCAGCACAACCTCTGGACTGGTTACTGTGGCGTTTGAGGGTAAAGAGAAGAGCCCTGCCAACTGAAGTAGGCATCGAGGCATGACTTCTGACTGACATTCAATGTTGACCAAAGTGCCCTGGGGCCAAGCTATAAAACACAGTGAGCATCTTTCCATGGGCATGTGTCAGCAGGACAAATATCTAGGCTAGGAACAATTGGTTAGGGGGCATATACATCTCAAACTTTAATAGACATGGCCGAATGTCCTCCAAAATTACTGTACCAACTTACCGTCCCACTACAGCCTATGAGTGCTAGTGTCTGCTCGCCTCCACTCACAGGCTTGCCTTGTAATGAGCGCCGTGGCTGTTTTCCCCGTGTTGGCAGACAGAAGGTGGGCTGACGTCTGTGAAAATCTTGTGAAACAGTGTCCAGTTCATTCAGCATTTATGACAGTATTTTATTGAATGCATGAGTAGAGGATGGGAACTGAGGTCAGAAGGGTGTGAGGTGGGTCAAAGGGGGATGGTTACTGCCCTTAGCTGACCTGGGCGTGAGCATAGGTTGGGGAATGCAAACTAGTGAGTGATAGTGGTAGGAGCAGGGCTTTGAGAGTCCAGACTGTGAAGGCTGAGTGCACCTGAGCCACAAAGATCTGAGTGTTACACAGGAGGGAGGTGGGTGGGGGTGAGGTTGGTAGACAGTGAAGAAGCATGTGAGGTTAACAACCACCAGGGAGCTCCAGTTTGGGCCAGCCTCTTTGAAAGCTGGCACCAAGGAGTACTGTGCCGGGCGAGGGAGTCAGGTGACAGTTCTCAGTCCTCTTTGGTTTGGTGCTGCACAGAAAGGGGCAGCTGGACTGGTGGTAAGTCCATGAGACGCAGCTGCCTGGTGATGATACTCCTGGCCTTGTTCTCCTGGGTGCTAGATCCTGCCTCCGGGGCTGCTTCATTCCTTGACTAGTTGTGTCTTTAGCTGCCTTTCCCTGAGGGGCAGGTGTCTGGGTTGGTTTCTTGGTGATCTGTGATGAAGTCTACAGCCTGAAGACTATCAAGTCCATGAAACAGCATGTGAACACATCCTGCCATTCTCAACTTGTGTTCACGTCCCTCTTAATGGGGATATTCAGGCCTCCAGGTTTCTGCCACCCCAAGGCTGTGCTGCTGTCCACCCCCCACTTTCCAGACTTCTCGCACTTTCACTTGAAGGTTGCTGTCCTTTGATCCATGACATCCAGTTTTATTTGACCTGGGCTCATACCCTCTCATCCCTACCTTACCTTTGAGATGCAAGCATAAACAAAATGAAGAGTTGTACTTTAAATTCTCTTCGTTTGAAACATATGGTCTTTTCTTTATGAAAATAGAAAATAAGGTATTTTAGTTGCCTTCCTATGCTTTGGTACAATGTCCTAAAAGTTAAATGTTCCTTCACATTAACATTAGCCAAACTAACTTTGCTCATGTCATTTTACTAAGTCTAATATTTATTCATTGCCCTGTATTTCAGTCTGAAATGAGCCATTTCCAACCCACACTTTACTGCAGACCCTTAAACTTGGCTGGAGCTGAGGAAGGCATGTGGAAAGAGGCTGGAGCCAGAGAGGCTCTCACTGAGGAGAGGGTGGTAAGACACAGGGTGACAGTGAGTGTAGAGACGCCTCCTGCTTGTCCTTAGGCTGACAGTCCTACCAAAATTATTCCAGTAGCCATTCCTAACCCCCACTGTGGCCTCCCTCTCTCTTCAGGTGGCAGTGAGTAGGACAGTGCTTCTCAGTTTTGGTATGGCAACACTTTAGGAAGATTGAATTCACGGTCTGGCCCTCACCTACCTAATTCCATTCACGTTCTGGCCCTCACCTACCTAATTCCATTCCCCAAACAGATGTGGGGCTCATTCAGTGCATTCACTTCACACCAGAATTGATTGCTTCCCTTCCATAGATTGGAAGAAAATAGCTTTGAACTGAGCACAGTAGGATTCCCCCCCCCCTCCCCCCCGCCATTTGGGTTTCATTCTTATTTTTCGTTGAAAAATGAAAAAAGCACAACACAAAGGCCTTGCCAGAGGCTCCAGGTGAAGCAATGTTGAGAAGGTAGTAGGCAGATGTGGAGAGGCCACGTGTCCGAGAAAGAGACCTGCACTCTGCAGAAACCTGTGTTGACTCAAACTATCCTCCCTCCCGTCTCTACTATGGCCAGGATCCCCACCACCAAAGCCTGAACTTGAAGTGCCCTGGGCCAAGGAACTACAGGATTGCAAGGAACTGGAAGAACTACTGCAATTTGTTGACTTCAACATTGGTAAGTGAGGGTTCATGGATTGCTGGGAAGAAACTAAAGAAAGATTCACCCTTACTCCCAGGGTTGTAAAGAGGTTGGGGATGGCACCTGGAAGTTTGTGTCTTACCATTAGCCGTTGAGTGTAACCCTTCTCGGTCCCTAGCTCTCCATTTCCCTTGGAACATGGTGACATCTGCGGTTTCTATCCATACTCTTGATTTTGATATTGGCAGAGAAAATGTGTCAAAGCAGAAAAAACGAGGAGAGTGTATATCCATTTTCTGTTTCTTTAGATGGAAATGCACTTCTTGAGCCCAACTTTCCAGAAGACCTCGAGGAGCCAAACAATCCATTGGGAATTCCCACAGAGCAGCTACCCAGATACCTCACATTGCCTGTCCATGATCAGAATCCCTCTCCGGGAGAGGGAGATGAGAGATCCAACCAGGAAGAGCCTTGGAACCCCAGGGCCCATGAGCAAAAGAGTGCCCCAAAGAAGCCACACCAATGTGTTCAGTGTGGGAAGGGTTTTGTTTCTAAGAAGGTACTTAAGGGGCACCTGAAAATTCATTTGGGAAAGCTCCCTCATGAGTGCCCTGATTGTGGGAAAAGGTTCCTTCGTAGGTCAAACCTACAAAGGCATCTTCGAGTTCACACAAGGGAGGCTCCCTATAAATGCAGCGTGTGTGAGAAGCGATTCACTCAGCAGTCACACCTCTCAGAACACCAGAAAATCTCTTCTGGTCAAGGAGTATCCACTTGCCCCGAGTGTAAGTTGCGATTTTGTAATAAAAAACAATTTATACAACACCTGAAAATCCACACAAACGGAAAGCCCCATAAATGTCAGAGTTGTGGGAAAAGATTTAGACGACAAAGAGACCTTAATTTGCACCACGGGTCACACACTGCAGAGAGACCATTTGTGTGTGAGAATTGTGGGAAAAGCTATAGACAGAGATCGAGCCTTGTTTTTCATTACAGAAGCCATTCGGGGCAGAAGCCATACAATCTTCCCAAGGAAGGCATGATTTAATATGCACCAAGCTGACCACTTTAGAGAAGAATTCTTTGAGAATTTGTTGAGGGAAACAGTTCCTACACAAAGTGGCACTAATCTATCAAAGCTTTAACCTGCACTAAGCTGTCTTGGAAGAACAGGTTTGTTTGAGCTTTATTTATAAGAACAGCTGTGTATTTTGCTGTGTTTAAGACCCATCTTCCAAGGCACAGAAATTCCAGAGTATTCACTGACTCTTGCCATTGTCGTAGACATGATGTTTTTCTGTCTAGGCAAGTCTTGTTTAATCTTTACGATGAACATGTGTTTGTTTCAAGCCAACCACAGTATAGGAGTGAGTAAGGAGCACATAAATGTCAGCTCTCCTTTCAGACCTAGGGTCAGTATTCCAATAGATGGGGATGTGCTCAATTGACCTGTATCTGGGCAATATTTCAGCCAGGTGGAAATGGATATGCTGTCCCTGTTTGATTGCCACCGACTAGTAGTTGGAGCACCAGGCAGGTGTTTCCCTGACGGTGCCAACGAGCACTTCCCTTGACTCCCTCTTACACCACGTGTCAGAATCTCCTGTGCGCCCACTGCTCTGTTGATGCATCATTTGAGCCTTGAGCACAGCCCATTTCTGAAATGTGGAGCGCTTCCAAAAGATAGGGGCAAGGGGAAAATGTCCAATTCATAAAGTGCTCGGAAGGGCAGAGATCAGTACCCACCACACAAGCACTAGGGAGAATGAGTGGATTATATAAGGGTGGAGACCCTCCCCGGAGTGAACTTCCAGTACATGCTGCATTTTCTTTCTCTGCTCTTTGAAATGATGAAAGCATTGAAGGCCACAAACTTTGAGTCGAGCTTTGGTCACATGCCACGATACTTATGCAGTGTTCTATTTGTGATTTTGCAGTTGTTTGTTATTACAGTTTTCATTTGATTTCCTTTCTGCCCCAAGAGTTGAACATTGTCGATAATTTCCTGTCAATTTTTTGTTATAACGCAAAGTTATTAATAAATGTGGTTCATTCTACTTCTGCTTTGAAGTTTATTGAGGTTTTCTTGAAGACTTATGTCCTATGAGTGTAGAGACTAAGGGTTCCATTTGTAGGGTACACCCTAGGAGAGAGGAATGGTTGTATCTTTGGTTTACAGCTATTCACCTTCTCCACATACTGACAAAATGTATGACAAATATCTTTTCCCACTCCTTGGCTTGTGGTCTCACTCACTTATTGGTGTCCCTTGATGAAGAGAATATCCCAGGTGTTGCATAGCTCAACTTATCATTTGCCCCCTTTATTGTTAGTGCTGTTTGAATCCTGGTGAAGCAATGTTTTGTCTACCCCAAGATCATGAACATATTTCCTACATTTTCATTTTAAAGTAGTATTATTTCACCTTAGACACTGAGATCGCATTTCACCTGGAGTTTATTTCTTTGACAAATGGTATGAGGTGAGGTTCAAGATAAGTTTAGGATGTCAGGGTACTTGCCACTTGAGGTTTTTTTCCCTTGGCCTTTGGGCCTTAGCAAAAATTGTGATGGTAAGAGAATG